TCTGTCTTTCCTTGTCAGGTATACCCATGATGGCCATAACTTCCAATAAATGTGAGATTACCGAATCAGCCTTTTCTGAGCTCAGGGCAGTTGTCCATTGAAAACCTGAATGCCATAGAGTGTGGTGTACATATTTTAATTACCAAATTCCATAAAGTGGAACACATCCATCTGTCAGATTTCATTCCTTTGAGTACCCTTTGGGTTACTCCCTGCAGGCAGCAGTGTTTGATTATAGAAAGAACAAGTAGGACATCTCTTTATAATGTCCTTAGCTTGTTGCCATGTAATGGAAAACTCTTTCTTTAAGCCTTTACTATTGACATGATGTTTTTATGAAATTCTGAGGCCTGCAACACGCTTCCAATCAATAATTGGTCAATTTCAGCGTTACCTTGTATTAGAGGACCAGGCAGACTGGTATGGGACCAGATGTGTGTTATGTACATTGGACAAAGCCTATTCTTAATTATGTCCTGTACCTGGATAAACAATGAAGTCAACTCTGTGTCATCTGGTATGAATTCAGCGGTTTCAATATGCATGATAACTCTTTCTGCATATTGTGAACTGTAACTATATTAAGAGGTTCCTTAAAATCCCTTAGCACCATAAGAATGGCATATAATTCTGCCTTCTGGACAGAATTATAAGGGCTTTGTTCCACCTTACTCAATTCTTCCGATTTATAAACTGCTTTCCCTGATTTATTTGCACTGGTATAAAATGTCTAGGCTCCAGTTATTGGAGCATTACGTACAATTCTAGGGAGAATCCAAGAAATTCTCTTTATGAGGTGAAGTCTGTCACTTTAGGGATAGTTGCTGTTAATTTCTCCCAAAAAATTACCACAAGCTCTTTGCCATGGTTCATTATCTTCCCATAACTTTCTTATTTCCTCAGTAGTAAAAGGCACTATAATTTCTGCTGGGTCTATACCTGCTAGTTGACAAAGTCTCAGTTAACCTTTTATAATTAATTCAGAGACTTTTTCCACATAAGTTTTTAATTTTTTACTTGGTTTATGAGGTATAAATATCAACTCTAAAATAATATCTTCCCTCTGCATTAAAATCCCTGTAGGAGAAATTCTGGAAGGCAGCAGGACTAGGATGGAACTAAGATTCGGGTTCACCCTATCCACATGTGTCTCCTGTAATTTTGCCTCAATCGTTGTCAGTTCCTTTTCTGCTTCTGCTGTTAATATTCTGGGACTATTCAAATCTTTATCACCATCTAAGGCTTTGTTTAAATGAACTATTAGATCAGGTGTTATCCTAACAATCTTTGGAAGTCATTGAGTCCGTAACAGGTCTCTCCTGATTTGTGCCTTTTGCGTTCGAATTTTCTCTAACCCTATTCTGTAACCTAGGTAATTAATAGAATCTCCTCTTTTTGAATCTTTTCAAGGGCAATTTGTAATCCCCACCTAGGCAAGACTAGGAAAACATCCTTTCCAAAGTATCTATATTTGAATCAGATAATAAAATGTCATCCATGTAATGATAAATTATGGACTTGGGAAATTGCTTACGAATTATTTCCAATGGCTTATTAACAAAATATTGACACAATGTAGGACTATTGAGCATCCCCTGTGGGAGGATAGTCCATTGATATTTCCTAGTAGGCTGAGAATTATTATAAGTAGGCACTGTGAAGGCAAATTTTTCTCTATCCTTTTCTTGCAAAGGTATAGTGAAAAAACAATCTTTCAAATCAATAACTATAAGAGGCCATCCTCTTCGTAATAGAGAAGGCAAAGGAATTCCAGATTGTAGCAGACCCATAGGTTGAACTACCTTGTTGACAGCTCTTAGATCTGTCACCATTCTCCATTTACCAGATTTCTTTTTTACAACAAACACAGGAGAATTCCAAGGGCTGGCTGATTCTTCAATATGGTTAGCATCTAGTTGCTCTGTACCAGCTGTTCCAAAGCCTGTAATTTATCTTCAGCTAGAGGTCACTGCTTGATCCATATTGGCTTCTCAGTTAGCCATTTTAAAGGTAGGGTTGTTGGTACCTCTAAAGGTTTGCTATTTGCTGTATGTTCTTGTATAGCCTGAATGGCTGGTGACCTTTTCCCATAATACCTCATTATATCCTTCCCAGAATTGTGAGTTCCTGGAACTACAGGAATGTTAATCTGGGTATTCCATTGCTGTATCAGGTCACGGCCCCATAAATGTATTGCAATATTGGCTATATATGGCCTTAGTCTTCCTATTTGCCCTTCAGGCCCTATGCATTCAACCCATCTTGTGCTTTGTTTTACACGAGATAGGGTTCCCAGGAACTGAACATCTACCTCTTGAAGAGGTCAATTCGGATGCCAAGATTCTGGTGTAGGATACTTAAATCCACACCTGTGTCTAATTAGCCTTCAATGAAAATGCCATTTATACAGACTCTTAGCTTTGGTCTTTGATCGTTAATAGAAGTCTGCCAAAATATACATTTACTCTGTCCTGCTGGATTTTTTGACTCATTCTTCACATGTAATTCATCATTTAGACCAGTATTACTTGTTACGGCAGACATTGGAGTTTTCAATTTTCTTGGTGAGACACGTTTTCCACTGTAACTGGGAATGACTGGTCCACTTTTGGCTTGGGGACCTGCAAGAGGCCCCTCAAGGGGTTTCCCGATGGTGTCTGGTTGCCTTGTCTGTCTGTTGTTGACCTGCATTCGTTGGACCAATGTTGGCCTTTACCACATCTCCTACATATACTTGAAGGCTGAGGTCTCCTACTTTTGTCATTCCCAGAGGAGATATTATTCCTAGAAATTCTTTGCCTGCAATCCCTTTTTAGATGTTGTAATTTACCACAATTAAAACACCTGGTAGTTGGATGTCTCCTCATAGCTTTGGAAATCGCTTCTCCTACCCAAGATTCATCATTATAGCTAAACGTCTCAACATTCATTGTATCCTGAATCCATTCATCCATAGGTGCTGATCTAGACCTTAAAGGCCCAATTATCTTTTTGCATTCTATGTTTGCATTTTCAAAAGCTAGAGATTCAAGAAGTATTCGTCTAGCTTCTGGGTCTGTTACCCCTATGTCCAGAGCCTTAATTAATCTTTGCACAAAGTTATTAAAGGGTTTTCTCTGTCCCTGCCTAACCCTGGTATATGATTTGACCCTTTTTGCTGGATCTTGTATTCTATTCAAAGCATTCAAGGCTGCTTTGTGACATAAGGACAGCACTTCTTCGTCATAAAGAGCTTGGACCTGTGGATCAGCATATGCTCCTACACCAAGAATTTGATCTTGGGAAACCTCCACACCTTTTGCTCTTCCTTGCTGTTCCATATGTTTGGATTCTTCTCTGAAATAAATTCCAAACATCAAGGACGGTCCATCATCTAAAACTGCAGACACTAACTGAGAGAAATCATGGGGGGTAGCTCTGACATTAGAAGCCCAAGTCCTTATCATTTCCTTAACAAATGCAGAGTGCAAGCCACAATTAACGACAGCTTGCTTAATTTCTTTTAAGTCATTCATTGCTATTGGTGTCCATCTAGCTTCTTTAACTCCCTTTGAGCCTTTAGAAGTTGACCCTTTGTCAGAATAAATTACAGGGTATGTCGTTAGAACCCTGGGTAAGCCAGTTCTAACAGCTGGTGGTGGCATTGTATCCTGTCCTTGTGCCTTCTTACTCTGTTCACCAGCTCCAATAATTTCTTCAATCATTTCAAATCTTTTTATCATTGTCTCTCTTAAATCCTGAATCTCCTGACCTACATGTGTTTCTAGGGATTTCACTAAGGTATCAGTTTTTTGGTTCCCATTCTGGAAGTACATACTATCTGTTACCTTATCAAAACTTTGTGATAACGTTTGAACGTTAAATTCAACAGCCTGAACCCTTTCAGGTAACTTCCTAGTACCCTTGGATATGGAGTCAATTTTGTGTATCCACTTGTTCAGATAACCCCTGATTTTCAATAATTTTAATCCTTTCAACTAATCGTTCATTATTAGTCCGTAAAAATTGTATCTTCCTTAATGACAAAATATGGAAAAGAAAACTGAAACCTAGTAACAAGTAAATTAATGTATCCCCATAGTCATATAAACCTTGCATGACATAATCCATTGTATTAGTAAAGAAAGCAGTAAATTTGCGTTGGAAATGAAAACTGCTATATTACCTATTATCAAGTAGGCGGCGCTATTGCCAAGTCGCGACTAGAACCACTGCAAAGGTGACGGAAACGGGGTCCTGTTTCAGTGTCCGCCTTAGTATTTGTTAAAAACTAGGAAATATAAGTTGCTCAAAAAAGAAAATGTAATTAAATCAGTTCCATACATGGAACCAGAAACCCAGAATCCAGGGGTAGAGAAGAGCAACCCAGAAGCCGCGTATGCCTCCACATGACCGAGTCGCCCCGAGGGGTTGCAGCTTTTGGCAACCGCTTGCGCTCTGATTCACGCCACTCAAGCACTGCACTTGCAAGGGAGATTTAAAAACAACTCAGAAAAGAGCAAACCAGGTGGGCAAAGACTGTCCCGAGCCTGAGGAGCTCAGGAGGCATGGAGTTAAAATCCACGTGGGGGTTTGAAGCCAATATGAGGTGTGTAATGAGAAAATATAAAGAATTGCAGCAAGAAAAGCCACTGCGTGATAGTTTATATTGAACTGCTGGCTTCACACACAGGGCACAGGCCACAGCTGAGGGAGGGCTCGTGCCTAGCTGAGCTGGTGGCAGGCAGCTGAGCGGGGGGGGGGGGGAGTTCTACAACCAAACGTTGGGTGCCAGATGAAGGCGTAAGTCACAAACAATCCCACACCAACTTGGAATTATGATTAATAGAATGATTATTTATTCAAAGGGGGAAAAACTTACAGATTACCATCCCAGACAACAGCCCATCTGCACAATCGGGAATGGAGCCGGAAGCCAGAGAGAGAGTGGAGGACAGTCACTGCTTTTTTAAAGAGAGAGAGACCACACCCCAATGGGCTGGTATCTCAGCAGCTATTGGCTGAAGGAACAGAAGAAGCTCCCGCAGCACATGGTGATCTGATAAGGTACATTGGGTTATTCCAATTTTTTTGTATCTGTTGAGGCTTGTTTTGTTACCGAGTATGTGGTCATTTTTTGAGAAGGTACCATGAGGTGCTGAGAAGAAGGTATATCCTTTTCTGTTTGGATGGAATATTCTATAGATGTCTGTTAAGTCCATTTGAGTCATAACATCTATTAGTTCTCTTATTTCACTTGACCTGTCCAGTGGTGAGAGGGGAGTGTTATGGTTTCCCACTATTAGTGTGTGGGGTTTAATATATGATTTAAGCTTTAGAAGTGTTTCTTTAACATATGAGGGTGCCTTTGTATTTGGGGCATAGATGTTCAGTTTTGAAATTTCCTCTTGATGGATTTTTCCTGTGATTAATATGAAATGTCCTTCTTTGTCTCTTTTGATTGATTTTTATCTTGAAGTCTATTTTGTTAGATATTAGGATAGCTACACCTGCTTGTTTCTTATGTCCATTTGATTGGTATATATTTTCCCAACCTTTTACTCTAAGACAATGTCTGTCTTTGAAGTTGAGATACATTTCTTATATGCAGAAGAAGGATTGATTGTGTTTTCATGTCCAATCTGTTAGCCTAGGCTTTTTTATGGGTGAGATGAATCCATTTACATTATGGGATATTAATGCCCAGTAGTTGCTATCTCCTGTTAATTTAGTTTTCATTGTTGGTGATGTTAATTTGTTCATTTTTTCTTCTTTGGGATTTGCTGTAATGAGATCATCAATTGTCTGTGTTTTTGTTGGTGTAGCCATTGTCCTTGGGTTGGAGTTTTCCTTCTAGTATTTTGTGTAGGGCTGGGTTTGTGGCTAGGTATTGGTGAAATCTAGATTTGTCATGGAATATCTTGTTTAGTCCTTCTATGGTGATTGACGGTTTTGCTGGGTATAGTAGTCTGGGCTGGCATCCGTGGTCTCTGAATGTCTGCATAATGCTTAACCATGACCTTCTGGCTTTCATTGTCTTCAATGAGAAGTCAGGAGTAATTCTGATAGGTCTATCTTTATATGTTACTTTGGCTTTTTCCTTTGCAGCTTGGTGTAGGAGGGACTTCTTTCTATGTGTCGCTTTCATTGGTTGAAGAAAGAAGACTGCCTTGGCCTTTTGATAGGGCAAAACTTAGATAGGCAGCACAGAATGCTGGGAGAAAGGAGGCAGAGTCAGAGAGCCACTCGCCATGAAGCTGCCAGGTCAGACATGCTGAATCTTTCCCAGTAAGCCACAACCTTGTGATGAACACAGATTTAATAGAAGTGGGTTGAATCAAGATGTGAGAGTTTGCCAATAAGAGGCTAGAACTAATGGGCCAGGCAGTGTTTAAATGAATACAGTTTCAGTGTAATTATTTCAGGGGCTAAGCTAGCTGGGTGGTGGGATGCGGCCTGCTGCTCCTTTTCCATCAGAGGATCTCTCCAATGTGGTAACTAACTCTACATAAAACCTAAGAGGGCTTAAAATGGAATTCTAGACACAAAGATAGAGTTTAACACAGCTTTTTGCTGTTTTCTAGGGTGTGCTCTAGAGAGATTGCCTGATTCAACAATAACAGCAGAAAAAAAGCAACACCATTTTAAAATGTGGCTTCCTGGGCTGTGCTGCCAGCTTGAACTCCGGCTTTAAAGCATTTCAATGGCTTTTATGAGACTGGATGTTTTGTGCCTGCTCAGGATCGGCAAGAAAGTACTCTGAGACTAAGCCAATGGCTCCCCGCCTGGGCTGACGGTGGAATCAGACTTAGGAAAGTGGGAGAGCATGGCGGATTCCCACCACCATACACAGAGATGTTTCCAGGCTGCGCAGTGCTCTGCATGGCAGATTTGACTGTAATTCAGAAAGAAAGAGTTTATGTGCCACACGCTCAGTCTCAGAGTTAAAGTGCTGAGTGTGGCTCCTACCTTGCGGCCCCAGAGCTAGCAGAAATGGTACATCCACCATTTTGAAATTGGAGAGAGGTGGAGCCAACATTCAGAACAGCCCACCGCTCTGCAGCTCGGAGGCACAACTGACTCAGAGGCACAAGTGGCTCTGCCATGTTGAATAGGGCGGGACAAGCCTGAAGTACCTGTTTTTGATTGAGGAATGTCACAGCTTAGATTCTTAAGCACTTAGCAATTTAAAAGCACAAAGCAAAAATGTTCCTGGACAGTAAAGAATTACAGACAATGCAATAGGACAGATTCAGACATAAAAGACCTCTAAATGGGTCATAGTGTTAGATAGACATAAGTAGGCTTGGGAGAGAGAGAAAAAAAGAGTATTAAAAAATCATAAAGTAAAGTTAATGCTTAAAAAAAGGGTAAAGTCTTTAAAGAAACAGAGTACAGATAGTTATAGATTCAAAGAAATAAAGAAAAATAAGCCATGTAAAAATGGAATATTTACTGAGAGTTTGGATTCTGTATATTCTTGTGTTTTCTTTAAATTTTTTGACTGTGAAGGAGCTAAATACAGAGAGACATTTCATTGTGTGGTCTGCTAAGCTAATCCAACATGTGTATTATAAAGCTATCTTGACTTCAGAATTTGGATCTAAGGATATGATGCATTGGAAAAGAGGGTCTTCTTTTGTTTTCACAGAGGATGAGACCCTGTGGATTGCTTCTACCCCAATATGGTATGATAGATCATGCCTTCCTGAAAGGTCACCGTGAACACCTTCAGTAAATTACTTCACCCAACTGATGACTGAGAGGAACCTAGCACACAGGTTATACCATGAAAGACCTAATTAACAGCACCCCCACACAACAGGAAGAAGTTTGGAGAGAAATAACTGTGCCCACATTCCCAAATATTGTCTATAAATGCTCTTTTACATTTAAAGGGAGATATGACATAGATATGAATAATTTACATTGGTATAAATTTTGCTTTGTTAATATCAATTTAAGGTCAATTTTGTTATATATATGTATGTATTATATTTCTGATCTTGATTAAGGTATTGTGATTGTATAGTTCATTTAAAAATGTATAATTAGGAAATATAGGTTGTTAATGGATATTCATCAATAATAGTCAAGCTTGTAGTCATGTTAGTTAGATTTTCTAGATATGTAGAGATATATTTCAGTTAGATAGGCGTTCTTCATATCTTTCAAAGACTACAGAACATGGCATTTAAGATGTTTTAATAACTTAGGGCTTTTCATGACAATGAGACATGCCTGCTCCTGGCAGCACCAATCTACTTCCTGAGGAAGATGGGCCTCAAAGAGGCTCCTTATGGAGATTGCTAGTCATTTGGGCAAGAAACTGCTCTTGCCTGGACTGCTGCATGAGCTGGACACAGAGAACCCGCAGAGAGAGGACTGCAGAACTTGCCTAAAGATGAGATGTTCCTTTGGGGTTCCTGATTCATGAAAGAGTCTGCATCTGCGAGATATTCTGCAGGACACAAAAGAAAGTGAGTGAACTGCCTTTGAAATTTCCTGCTCCATGGAAAAGTCTGCTGGATACTATGGTCATGTAGGCTGAAGACCAACGGTACAGAAAAACTTTGGGTGACTGTCCAGGCAGCGAGATGTCTCTGTCATTTCTAGAGTTTGGAAGTTGCTTATTTCTTGTTTACTTTGGTAATATTATATCCTTCTGGAGTCTTTGATGGAGTTGAAGAATAAATAATTACAGTTTTCTTTAGTTATGATAAAAGATAAAGTAGATATAAATATTAGAACTGTAATTCTTGCTTGATAACTTTTTTGTTATATGTAATTTTACTATGTTAAAGTTAAAGCCTTCCTTTTTGTTTAAACAGAAAAAGGGGAAATGGTGTAGGAGAGTCATCTGTTTATGTGTTACTTTCATTGGTCAAATAAAGAGACTGCCTTGGCCTTTTGATAGGACAGCAGCTTAGATAGGCAGAGTAGACAGAACAGAATGCTGGGAGAAAGGAGGCAGAGACAGAGAGCCACCCACCATGAAACTGCCAGGTCAGACATGCTGAATCTTTCCTGGTAAGTCACAGCTCGTGGTGATACACAGATTTAATAGAAATGGGTTGAATCAAGATGTGAGAGTTAGCCAATAAGAGGCTAGAACTAATGGGCTAGGCAGTGTTTAAATGAATACAGTTTCTGTGATTATTTCGGGGTTAAGCTAGATGGGCGTCGGGAATGCAGCCCACTCCTCATTACTACAGCAGCTCTTAATATTCTTTCTTTATTCTGTATGTTTAGTGTTTTGATTATTATGTGGTGAGAGAACTTTTTTTTGATCTAGTCTATTTGGTGTTCTGTAAGCTTCTTGTATCTTCATAGGTATATCTTTCTTTAGGTAGGGAAAGGTGATTTCTCATTTCATCTTTAAGAATTTCAAACATTCTCTTGAGGTTATTTTTTTTTTTTTGATCATTTTCTTCTGGTTCATCCATACTTGGTTGTTCAGATCTTACTTTGGTAGGGTCTTTAGGTTTTACTGGTATTGTGTTGCTCTTTGTGGTGTAACATGTGATCTTACGTTTTCTACTCTTTTTTTTTTTTTGCCAGTCTTGCACTTTATTGCCCCTTCCATTAGGCCTTGACCGCATACTTGCGTAGCAGGTACAGCCTCTCCTTCCGCTGCTGCTTCTTTGTCTTCAGCTTCTCCTCGTGCTTGGTGAGCCGGCGCATGACTCTCGTTTTCTTGGGTCGCAGGTCCAGAGGCTTGTACTTCTTGCCCTTGTAGAATTTCCTGAGGTTTTCCTTTTGAGTCTGGTTAATGACGGTGAGGACACAAGCGATGGATTTGCGGATAACTCGTATCTTGGAGAGCTTGGACACGGCGCCGCCTGTCACCTTGGCAACGCGAAGCTGGGGTAGCTCCACCTTCAAATCGTCCAGTTGTTTTAGCAGCTCCTCCTTCTTCTTGCCCCGCAGGTCCTGAGCCTTAATCTTGGCCAAGGCTGTGTTGCTCACTGCTGAGGCCGCCTGGTCCAAAAGAAGGAGCAGCTCATCTTTCCCTCTAATAGGTGTGGTTGGGGCTATCTGAGATTCTGTTGAATAGTCTTCTAGGTGCCAGTGAATCCAAAACTCAGATGGTTGTTCCTCGTGGTACAGTCAGTGTCACAGTTCTAGTTACCCTGTTGGTTATTCGGTGTTCTTGGAGGTAGCTCAGTGTTCCTGTGCTTTGGTCTCCTCCTTTGGAGTTTGCTGTCTCAGTTGTATTTTGGCCTAGGCTGCTGGCTTTGATCTGTTTCTGTAAACCTTGTACTGGATCTCCTCTTACAGAAGTCCCTGGTTTGGAGTTGGACCTGTCCTGGTGGCGATCGGCTGGACTCTGGATCTGGTCACTGGTTCAGTCCTGATCTGCCCGTGTCCCGGGACTGGGTTTGCTCTTGGCTTCTGCTCCTGGTGGGGCTTTTTCTCTCTGTGTCTTAGGTAATTGGTTCAGTCCCAGTCCGATTCCGGTGGAGGTCGCAGACTCTGAGTCAGGTCGTTGGCTCAATCCTGATCTGCCAGTGGTCCAGGTCTGGGTTGGCTTCCAGGGCGGGATTTGCTCCTGGCTTCTGCTCCGGATGGAGCTTGTTTCCTCCGGCTCTCTCTGTCCTAGGAGTCTCATTCATTTCCACTTCTGTGGAATTTGTTGTCCAAAGTGGATTTCCTTGCCTCAGGGTAACTTTGGCTTAAGTTACCAGCTTTGACCTGTATCTGTAAAGTCCCTAGGTTGGAGTTGAACCTGGTAAGGCTTCTGGTTCTGGTCTACTGCCTGGGAGGTTCTAGGCCCGGGTGCACCTGAACCCACAGAGGACCTGCTGCTTACTTCCTCAAAGGTCTCAGACTCGCGCTGGGACCCGCAGGGGTTCCAGGTTCCTGCCTATTCCCTTTGATGTCCCAAACCAATGCCTGAACCCACAGAGGACCTGGCTCAGGAATACTCTCTCTGAGGTCCGAGACTTGGGTCTGGCCCCACTGCGATCTCTGGTTCCTGCCTATTCCCACGGAGGATCCAGGTTCATTCACACCCAGGCTGGCAGAGGTCCTGGCTCTGGGAGTTCCTGGGAGGTCCTAGACTCTCCTCTGTACTCCATTTTTTATTGGATTATGTGATCTTTTGGTGACCAATTTCTTGAGTTCTTTGTATATTTTGGAGATCAGACCTGTCTGATGTGGGGTTAGTGAAGATCTTTTCTCATTCTGTAGGCTAACTGACAAGATGGAATTACTGGCATATGTTATGATCTGTGAGATGGAATTACAGCCATGAATTACCACCCACCAGATGGAATTACAGGCAAGTAGTACCATCCACCAGAAGGAATTACAGGCATGAATTACCACCCACCACATGGAATTACAGGCATGTATTACCACCCACAAGATGGAATTACAGGCAAACATTATTACCAAGATATGGTATTACAGGCATGGATTATTATGCAAGAGATGGAATTACAAGTATATATTATTACCAAGATAGGAATTACAGGTATGTATTATCGAGATGAAATTATAGGCATGTATTACTACCAACGAGATGGACTACAGGCATGCATTATCACCCACAAAATAGAATTACAGGCATGTATCATTAACAAGACATGGAATTATAGGCATATATTACTAAGAGATGGAATGACAGCCATGTATTATTACCAAGACATGGCATTACAGGCATGTATTACTATGAGATGTAATTACAGGAATGTATTAATAAAAGATGAAACCACAGGCAAGTATTTCTAATATGGAATTAAAAGCCTGTATTCCTATATACCAGATGGAATTACAGGCATGTACCACCACATAGGATGGAATTACAGCCATGTGTTATTACCGACAACATGGAAATTCAGGCATGGATTAGTACCCACCAGATGGAAATAAAGGTATGTATTAGCACTGAAGAGCTGGAATTCCAGGCA